CGTTCGTTCTTGTATCGATGGGCGAGGAAAATGTGCAAACTGTTGCTCCATTGCTCACCGTATTACGCCGAAATAGTCTCGAGTGTTATCGCGTTCGGGGCGCGTCTATTATTTCGGGTTTAATTTGCGCGTGCTTTGCGCCCCGCACAACTACGGTTACGGGAAGTGGTATAAGGTGATAATGATAACATACTTGAAGGTGGAGGTGTTTTGATAGCGTGCTAATTAAAGTTCGTTTAAATTTAGTAATTGCAGTGCAATATTTCTTATATATGCTCAGATAGTTCAGTATTTCTTAAGTTATTATCAATGCGGAAATTTTAAGCAAAATTATCGACAATTCTATATTTTCACTTATATTTTGAACACGGTTATGTGTTTGTTTCGCTTTCACACAGAAACCAATGAATCAGTTTTGATAAATTTTTGTAGAGAGGTATTTTACAATAAGGAAAAGCAAATAGGCTACTTTTTATCGCAAAAATATCATTTGTAGGGTTAAAATAAGGGATGAAAGTTTGTATGGAGATGCAATCATTGTTAAAGTTGCCCAATTTAAATCTAGATGGCGCTAATGTGCATTATTAGCGTATTTTTAGGACACTAAGTAGGATTTATAATAAAATTATAAATAAGCACTCTTAAGGATTAAACGCGAAGCTGATGTTTTCGGTAAAACTCGAGATGTACAAAATTTAATTAAAATTATTGTCTGCCTCAGAATATTTACCTACATAATTATTATTTTTTGAATTTGTATTTTGATGCATGTTGTGTATATGCTGATGGTGGTGGTGGTGGATATTGTAATTAAGCATCAGTTGGATTTTGGTTGCTTTGGAAGCATGATGTACTAGAATGTGTATTGATGTATTCATCCCGCTGTTTTGTTTACATTCGTGTCGGGTGCGGAATCAACAGGCTTAAAGAAGGAAAGCCGGCGGCAGTGGCGGCGGCGGCCGACGAGCAGCACACGCCGATGGCCGGCTGATTAGATCCGACCATTATTGACCGCCCCCGCGCTCGAGCGCGCCACCATTATCGCCCGCTCGGCCCCGAAAGATGATTATCCGTGCTGGTCGCAATCGCCCTCGTTTCTCGCCATTACTTCACTGGCCACTAGTTCATTCTATATATATCTATAGTTGTGTGTCCAACTCAGCACTCGCCTGTTGATACTAGTTTCATGATTGTGTCGTGATTTGAATACGTAATTTTCACAAAGCACAAAAGGAGAAAATAAGAAATTCTTGAGATGAAAAAAATTTAATCAACAGTGTGGTGGTAAAGATTTGTAGTTTAAAGCATTTGTCGAATTAGTTAAGTGTTTTTTTTTTTTATTTTTTCAAATCTTGATTTTGTTGCAAAAGTTGTATTCGCAATGTGCAACATGTTTGAATGTGACTTCTCGACCGAAGCAATTACACTCTGTGCACTGCGCCTGCACAAACGCGTATAAAGCCTTGCGCATCAAATTGTCCTTTCCGTCTATTAGCGATAGCGATAGTCCTGCCGTTCGATGAATGCCGATTGAACGCGCACATCGCTCATACAAATCCGGCCGGTGAATCCAAATACGTGCACTGAAATCCTGAAATCTCCGTTTTGATCATTGCACACACAGCTTTCCATTGCATCTAATAAACACAGCTGTGAGTGAGGTAAACTTTGAATACATTCCGACAACAAAACACTCGCAACATTCCTTGTAATTAGCATAAAAAATATCAAAATCAAAAAATTTGGTTTGGAGGAAAATAAAAATTATAATTATGCGCATGTTTGGCTTGCGATTAAAATGATAATATTTACAATAATCACGTGTGTTTGCGTTGCACGATGATCCTCGAAGCTTCTCAGGCGACGCACACTATCACAATGCGTGTGAGTCTTGATCCTGCTGCGCCCAAAGCTTGTCGGAGATTAGAAAATGTGCTCGCACTTTGATTGTTGCCATGCGGTCGCCAGGATACGCGCCGTGCGCACAGTTACTATCCTTCCGTGTCGGCGGCGTTAATGCGTGTTTGACGCGCGACATTGATCTCCCCCGGCCGCCGCCGCCGCACCACGACAAAAGGGGTGGAAGTGTGTTGTTGTCGATGCACTTTGCCTAGCCCGCCGGATGTATAGACATGCGGATAATGTGGGATAGTCTCGCGCGCGCGCCCGGATAATGCAAGGATTTCGGATATCGGTAAACGTGTGCTGTGTTAACAAAATTTGATTGAAAATGCAAAATTTTGCGTTCGGTTAAATGCCCGTTAAATGCTTGGAAGGATAATTGCATTCGTGTTGTGTTTTGTGTTTTCTAACAATATTAATTTCCGTATGGAGCGCGCGCGCGGCACGACTAAATATTGCAGCGTATTAGATTTCGTGTAATTATCCTGGACGGACTGGAGTGCCAAAGGGCATTTATTCACTCGGATACAATTACATTTTACGTCAATTAATACGGAAAATAGCTGAAATTACCACTGCGTAGTAAATTTATTCATTGAAAACATTTAAAAATAATATCGTTTTAATTGTGGCGAGCGTACACATTGTTTATTCTAATTATAACCAAATTTTTACATCGGGCACATTCCTTGATTATATTTTACTAGCTTTAACCCGCGGCTTCGCTCGCGAATATCTAAAATAATGAAGTTGCTTCTGTACGCGTCTGTAGTCACAGAATAAGTAACAATGAAGTAGAATGGCGGGAAGTTTAAAATGGCTGAAAGTATAGTCTATGGAAGTATAGTGTACAGTCTCCATGGTGTAGTCAATTGGATTTGATGTTGACGTAGCTGTCGGTAATACAGTGTGATAATACAGTGTGATGGTACTATAGTACTTAGGTTTGAGCTTCATTGCTGGAATGCTAGATGGCGTTAAAGTAGTCAAATAGCCAGATGCAGAGGTATTATTGGCTAAACTATTTCTTTATTTTATTTAAAAAATAATTTTTTTATTAAATAAAAGGTAGCCTATAACTATTCGGGGACCACTAAGAATATGTGTACAAATTTTCATGATGATCGGTTAAGTAGTTTTTGCGTCAAAGTGTAACAAACATCAGGACTTTCGCATTTATAATATTAGTGGGGATTTAAAAAATATATCAAACAGTATATCATCTTATTTTCTTAAATTTTAGTTTTTTTTAACTAAGTTCTAATATTATTTGAGGAAATCAATTTGGAGAGTGTCAGCGAAGACGTGTTGCCGGGTGGGGTTGTGGAACAGTGCGATAATTACAATTGTTAATTAATATGCTATCGCCACGCCATGAGGAGACGACACGTGTGTTGTTGGCGGCGTTTTGGTAGCGCGGGTAGATGCTTTGTGTGTGTGGGTGGGTGTGTTTGGCTGTGCGCGTACTTCCGTGCGCGTTCTGCGCAATTAATTATTTCGCCTCTAATTAGCCCGCAATCGACTCGGCTGGCGGCCGGAAATCTCAAAATCTGCATCTGTTGCAATCAGCGTTTCAAAGTACATATGCGCGTGGTGTTATCATTGAATGCTCCAATGGTGGAATTCTGGAATTGAAATTGAGATATTCGTGTGCGCTTGTTATTGTATTAGCAAGTTTCTTTGACATCGGCTTAGGGAATTATTTGTTACTAAAAAATATCCAAAGGAAGATTTATTTTGGAGTTAATTAAACGTTCTCTCGACTGTTTCTTGTTTTTCTCTTCTCTTTTTTGCTATTTTTAACGTTTAATCATGAGTTTTTGAGGCGCAAGCTCCACCCCGTGTCTAAAACTCATGACTAAAGTACTTAACTCACGGTTTTGGCCGTCCGTGGGTAAAGTACCACTTTTTGTGTCTCAAAACCGTGGAAAATCTGTTTTAAAGTTTTAATGGTCGAAGTAAAAAAATATTTTTAAATTACATCCAGGTCAAGCCATCTGCTTCTTCAAGCCTAAAAAAAGGTTTAGACACTTTTTAATATATTATTCTGGTCTTATTATATGAATAATGATGTAAGACTGTGTAACATAACGAGTTATTAATTAATATCAGCACCAAACGCAATTTCTTTCTCTGCAAAAAGGATTCTTTGCGCTCGAACTGCACTAATGAATTCGTTAATTTTGTAAATTCGTGATTCGTTAATGCGATGCGATTTTAATGAGGATTCTTCACTCAGAGTCTATGCCTCTACTGCTGTTGCCCGCGCGCCGCTGGTTCGTTGTTCGTGCAGAGATATCTTCTATTGTTGGTCTGGTTTCAGTTTGTCGGTTCATTATATTCGTAATGTAATAATTGTGATTGTGATTTCTTCGCGTGTCTCGTCTTCTGGTGCATTACCTGCGCGTTTGCATGTCGTGTGTGCGCGCGCGGGTTTCCATTCAATAATTTCCCCGTTCGTAATTGTCTAGCTTCAGCTCGGCGCGGAGTGAGTACATGCGAGTTGATTATATTTAGTTAATTACGAGTTGTCTGACCGACTCTCGACGTTCCTACGCTCTCGTGTTTTCTTCAAGTGTGTGTGGAATGGCAGCGGCAGGAAATGTAAAGAGTCGCGCTAGCTTGGAAATCACGATGCGGAACGATGAATGGTTGGAATTCATTTTGTGTACAATTAACAAGTGTATTAGAAGATTTTTTTTCTTTTAAGAAAAATGTTTTTTAGTGATATTGTTTATTGTTTAAAATATTGTATGAATTTGTGGGGTGTTTTGTAGACGCGCGCAGCACCCTCTGTGTGCTCAACTCGCGCGCGACCCCGTTTCGCGGCGTTTTCGCACAGGTGCGTCGGAGTAGGTGGGTAGGCCAACCCATTCGTCCTGGTGGTATTGCTGCCGGGCGGCCATCGGTACAAGCGTGCGCGTCGTCGCCGCCACCGCCGCCGCCGCTCACTCTTTTGCTCTCCCACTCTCGCCTCACCTGCCGCTCGTAATGCGCCCCTTCTCGACACATGCGCACGCCGACGCTGGCGCTGGTTGCGTCTCTGTTTGCCCGCCGCTCGCGGGCCTTCTCACGGGAGTCGTGTGGGGCCTTGCTCGCGCCGTGTCGCCGCTCGCCGCGATCAGTCCGGGCGAGATAGCCAGCGAGTGCGGCGGTCCCCACACACATCTCACTACCACGCCATATATTACTCACACTCTCAACTCAAACTCAATCTCCTCACAGCTCCTTTCTCCAGGACCGAAATATCTCGAACATCCCTCACCGACCACCCCTCACTCGTGTGCGTTCGTGCGTGCTTTGTAAATTTTTGAGCAAAACCGAAAAAAATAAATAAAAAACAGCAAACCGTGGTGAAACTGGCTGCGCAACAACTAATAAACTGCTACAATCATTGATAAAACTGCTTTGATAATCAGATAAATATCGAAATATTCTTGGATACTGTCTAGCACTGTGTCTGTCGTCGTCGTGTCTTGTCGTCTTGCAACAGAAACGCAAAATTTCATTTCTCACTTTCGATCGTCTTCTCAGGCTGACTGAAAAAGTGTGTGTGTGCTGAAACCAAACATAAATTTAAAAAAAAAAACATAACAAACAAACAAGGTAACAAAATCAAATTAAATTAATTAATTTCTCTACGATCGAGAAACAAGCTACATTTTTATACCAAAAAAAAAACACATTTCACACAGCAAGAAGAAGAAGCTCGCGGAAAAAAACACACACACAACATAATTTAAAGAAATATATTTATAAATTGTTCCTTTGAGTACAAAACAAAAAAAGAAAAACAAGAAAAGTAACATATATATATTTTGTATTTTTGCAAATTGTTGTTTGCAAAAATTATTGACGAAATTTTCGTTGCGAATTTTAACGACGACGCAAGACGCGAGACCAGCGCAAGTCTTGTCTGTCCAAGAATCAAATTGACAATCATCCAATCGTAGCGAATAGAGAATATAATAATAAATATATTACCTAGGTAAATAAATTATTGTTTAGGATATATTAATAACTAGCATAAAATAACTAAGCGTAAGTGAATATCAATCAAATCAATCAATCAATCCGATGCGTGTGATAGATACAATCATATTTTAACAATTACATAGATTTAATAGGCGGGCTAAGCAAGGATAAGTAAGTAATTATTTAGGCGTAATTATATCGATACAGTTGGGAAAGTTGCGAGGCGGAATTTCGTGCGTGAAGATCAAAGATTAAGGATAGAGATAAAGAAGACCGTCCCTTTTGGATATTATATAACTTAAGTAATCCGTTAAGTAAACTAACTCGCACCCAAGTCAATTGCAGTAAGTAATATCAAAAAAAATCATAAAGAAAATAAATTGACAATCAATCAATCTGAGAATTACATTTTGGAAGAAAATAATAATTCGACAATCAAGCGAAACAAACGTGGTTGTGTTAAGGAAATAACTAATAAGTCAGTATTACTAGAGTTAAGTGAAAAGCTGCAAGTACCTAAGAGAGACGTGCGCACCGCTGGCTAGATCGGTAGCAAAGTTGGTTGCCTACACACTTGATACATATCGTGAGCAGTTAGTAGTTGGTAGTTGTTGTTGGTAGCTAGGCAGGACGCGGAGCCGGTTTGATTGTGAAGCAATTAAGATCGCAGCCATAGCGATTGCGAACGAGACGAGCGTGCCGGGCGTGTACTGGTACCATCATCACCAGCACACGCTGCCGCCGGTGTCGCCGCCCGCAGCCGCCCCCGCGCTGAATTACTACGCAAAGTACGCGCACGAACCGCAAGACCTGGTCGCCACCACGTATTACCTGAACGCACCCCCCGCCTCCGCTTCCTCCGCCGCCGCCGCCGCAGCGGTCGTCGCTGCCGCCCACCAGCAGCACCAGGCCGCGCTCGCCGCCGCCGCAGCAGCCGGCGCGCCGTACGTGGTGCCGCTGTGTCCGGCGCTGGTGCCGTGCCCCGTCACTGACCACCTGCAGCAGCAGCAGCAGCAGCAACAACCACAGCCGGTGCAGGGCCACCAGCAGCAGCAGGCAGCCGCGCTTTTTGCTGCCGCAGCCGCTTCCGCCGCCGCGCATCACCAGCAGCCGCCGCACGCGCAGAGTTGTCTTTGCGGTCAATGCGCGTCGCATATGTACGCCGCCGCTAATCAGCTGATCGTGAACCGCTGCTTCACGGAGATCAATTACTTTCACGACGCCGCCACGGCCGCCTGCGCTGCCGCCGCCGTCAACAGTCAGGCCGCTTCGCCGGAGAAACATCAGCAAATCATCGCGTACGATATGGTAAGCCCGATTTGTTTTCAATTTCTGTCGTCGAGTGTAATTTGTGTGTGGTACGTGCTCGATGAGTAGTACGTGCGCCACGTTGCTGGTGGGAAAGTTGGGAAACAAGGGCGCTCAACAAGTGCATTTATTACGTTACGCGCGTCGCGACGCCAAGCGCCGGCGTTCGTACGCACGTTTTGTGCTCGACAGAAAAAAAAAACACGCGTGTTTGCAATTTATTCACACCAAGTGATGAACTCGCGCGAAACAAATTGATACGATATTAATGCCACCAAAAAAAAAAACGCATATTTTCCAGATTTATTATTATCCTTCTGCTAGAGAGAAGAATTGCGTCTGTTTCGTAAGAATAGAATTTTCTATCAGTTTTATTCATGTCCTGCGTCCGTTTTTCGGTGATTTAACATTCGCGAGCTGTTCTTTTTTTTCTTCGCTTTGTTGTCTTTTATATCTCTGCGCGCGGCGCGGTGCAGTCCGGAGTCCTTTTTCGAATCGTTTTTGATCTCGGCGCGCAGACGGAGAGAACGCCGAGCGATTTCTGGAAACAATGATTTCCCAAACGTATTTTTCTCGCAACTCTCGACGAGCAAAAGTGGAAAAAAAATGAAGCGAAGGAAACAAGCCCCGGAAAAGGAGAACCCTTCTTAGCGTGGTCGTCGTCGGGGCGCACAGCGCGCAGGAATTGCGATTTTATTTTTAATGAGCGCACATGAATCGCAATAAATTTCTTTCAACTTGCGGGATGGAAGGGAATTGGAATTAAACTTGTTAATTTCAATAAGATTCACTTTTATATTATTCTTCATCTTTGATTTGCTGGAAAATTGTGTGGTGTAATGCTGGATGGATGGGAAGGAGGAGGCAATTGCTTTGCGTGAACTTGAACTTCAACTTGAACTCGCAAGACTTTGCACTCGGCGTAATCTTGCGATTGCGATCGTTTTACTGGCGCGCAATGTGTGCAATTCTCTCCTCCTCGCCTAGCAGCTAGCTAGAGGAGTTGAACGCGCGCGCGGCGGGCTCCAGCCGTTGACTTCCTAAGGCGACCAACTCTCGAGAAAACTGGTTGCACAATCGCCGCCTCGGCCGGGCACACAGATGCAGAATGCGCCAAATAGACGAAGAATAGATTCTCGCGTGCATCTCCTCGCAGCACCGCAGAGTCCAATCACCGGATGAATGAACTTTGCATTATTTGCATTGATGCATTGAACTATCTCACAGACTCTGACTGCGACTTTCAATCTCTAACATCACTTTCAGCATTAACTGCATTTGAAGCCAAGTTTTGATTCTCCTCTTCGTCTTCTCCTCGGGTCTAAACAAGTTATGAGGAATTGTCAGAAGAAGTGTAAGATGTTTTCTTTGTATGTTGTGTTGGGTTGTTGGTCATTGTCGATACCACCGCGCGCATAGTGTTTATGTGATACCGTGACGCGTAGGTTCTTGCACTCGGTGTGCGCATTGAGTGCATCATCATTACATCTCGCGTGTGTGCTTTCCTTGTTTTTCTTGTTCTTCTCGTTGTGCCGGCCGCGCGCTGTGGTCCGTTCTGGTCTAGCTGGTCTAGCACAACGCCGAGCGCATTACGCGTGTATCGTAGAGCAAGCAACTCTTTCAAGGTCGCGGGCGCCGCGCATACCGCGGCGTCTTCTGCTGGTTCTTCTTCTTCTTCTCTTCGTCTTCTGCTTCACCACCATCGAGGACGCGCTCCTCTTGTTCTATTTCTCGTTACTTTTACTCCTCGTACACCTCGCCGGTCTTGAGGCAGTTGTTGAAGCAGTTGCGGCAGTTTCTTCGCGGTGGTAAACCGATCAGGTCGCGCATAGTATACCTTCTTCCTTCGCGCGGCGTCTCTTCACAACTTGAGCTTTAACTTTCAACGGCTTCAAGTTTTATTTATTGTGCTGCATTTCTTTTTGATTATTTGTGTCATCACTTGGAATTATCTGAAACTTTTCCAAAGTTTTCAAGCTTTTAATCAACTTGATCATTACAGAGTGAGTATGTCAAAATTTATTTTCATTTGTAAATGCTAGTCAATTTATGCTAAACAAAAGTTTGACGTTTTTAACATTTAGCCGCCTGTAACATAATCAATTTGATGGTTGTTGGTGCGCGTTGCGTCTCTAACAGCTTTGCTGCGCCAAAGCTTCTTCTTGTCTCTTGTGTTGCGCTGTATTGGTGGGCGCGATTTTCCCGTCTTCACAGATTTAGTTATCATCGAAGCCCCCGACGCGAGATGCTTTAATATTTAAACTGTTGAAAGCGCGCGCGCACGGCGCCTCCACCATCCACGCGAAACCGGCGGTGGCGGCAACGCGCGGCGATAATGTAACGCCAGTCGGGTCGATTAATAATTCCCTTTGCGTCTTTTGTGCGCGCCATGCACGCGCGCGTCTTTTGAGTCGGTGCATTAGCGAATTTGTCTTCTTTTGTAGCGCACGGATTTATGTTTTCGGCTATGTAAGTCGTCAAAAAGAATTTGTGCACTCATATTCGAGATATTAACAATATATTGCAATGTAGAAAAGTATTTTCTGAATCATATAGATTTCAACTATCATTTCTTGAAAAACAAAAGTGAAAAAGAAGAAATTGATTATTTCTGCGATTGTGACATTGATAGTAAAACATTTAAAATCAATTTTAACTCGTTTCTTGCGTTAGTATCATTTGATGTTTACAATAACGTGCTAAAAATTATTATTTTTTTCCGTATTTTCAATGAACTTGCCTTATTTTATGTTGAAGGTCACAATTTGGTATGCGTAAAACTTCATTTTCGGTTACGAAACCGACCGAAATTACGCTTCGTAACTTTTATATATATATATTTTCTTGTGTGTGTGAATAGCGTAGCCTTGAATGAACGAGTTGATTCGTTTCTGTTTCTTTTTTGTGATTCGGTAGTACAATTCTCGCGGTTTGTTGACTTTGTGACTTTGGGCCACTTCCTGCTTCTCTTCTCTCGCCACCGTCACGTCACCTTCTCGCACGGTGCGCGTGGTAATTACTTATATTTTATAATATTCCCCATCTAATACAAGTTTTAGTCGTTTGTCTACTCGACGAAGTCGCTACGGTTAATTTAAACGAACAGAAAAAAATCTACATGTTATATAAAAGAATATAAAAGCATAATTAATGCGTTACAATTAAGTCCTGCGTCTATTGTTCGCACGGGAACAACCGCAACCGACGTTTGAGGAAGAAGACGAAGAAGAAGATTCGTGCGTATGCGCTGTGGAGTTCATTCACGTTCGTTCACTTTGGACTTTGCAAAGCGTAACGCGTTCGGCAAAGCCTTAGAAAATCGCAGATTCAAAACAATCGAAAAATTATACGAAAATATTAAATGGACGTGTGTGCGCTTTTTGACGACAACGAAATTTACATCTACAACAAGTACTCAGTTAATTAAATTCCGAGCACATTTGCTCAATTTATTTTGTTTAGGTTGTTGTAGTTTTTTCTGCTCTTGTTTTTTATTTTTATTTTCAAAGTCGTGACTCTATTTCGTGCGCTCGTCGAAGCGTGGCGCGCATCTAAACCACCGACGACGAACGCCCGAACGCGACTAATTAAAACGAGTGTGCGCATCGCATCGCGCTATTGTTTAATTATCTGGCCGAGGTGGAATTATTAATGTGGAGCAAAGAATAAGTGCGCGTGTTTGCGAGCGCGCGCTTTTATGGTGTTTTTATTTTAATGAGCGTTATTGTGTTTGCTGCGTGTGTTTCACATGGCAGGGCACACTACACACCACCCCGCAGTTTGTTGCTCTTGAGAAGTTAATTGCAGTTATATATTTACATCATTTAATTAAAATTTAGAACGTAGAATCTCAAATTTAGAATTTTAAAAATTATTTAATTGAAACTTGAAAAGTTTGGCAAATTTTGATTTTTAAATATTTGTAGTCCAAAGAAAGTTCGAAAGATGAGCCAGGGTCGTGACTAAAGTACTTTATTATAGCATTTCTCTTTTTAACATAAAATTGAGAAATTTATGAGCGGGCTGTGGCTCATGTTAGATTGGTTGATGAAACAAAAAGTAATTAGTAATTAAGTAAGTAATTACTACGTTTAAAATTCTATACTACAAATCTAGTAATAACTATTTATTCTTTTCGTTGAAGATGCGAAAATGTGAAACCAATACGTCGTGACTTATGAAGAGTGACGCGCACGCTGCGCGCAATAAAACAACAATAAAATCCAAAAATACGAAACGGAAATAGCACGCCGCACTTGCGTTTTAACAGTTTTCTCTTGCGCTGCAACAGCTCACTCACAATGCATTGCGCAACAGCGCGTTGTTTGCCTTTAGTAAATCACAATTTCGACGTTAAATGCAGCTCTAAATAACGCGATGCGATGCTACAACAAAGCTGAAGAATGTAAGCTTTTTATTTCTCGTGAGATGTAGACATGAGCCAGTTTACGAGGGTGATTAAATGTTTAAAAGTTTGGAAACTTACCGATATATGTATGCATTGCGCATGCGCGAATGTGTTACTACGAATAAGCACCAATTTGCTTTCATAGTTCTGCGTATATGAATATTTGGCGCAATGAAAGCGGAAATATTCGGAAAATGACGCTGAAAGGACACAGAAACTTTTGGTCATTTTGGCTAATTTGGAAAGTTTCCGGAAATTATTGCCGGAAAGTAAGTGAGTAGATAGGTAGTACCTACTTACAAGTTTGACTTTATTAGTTATTTAGTAAATTATTTCGTAAATAAAATAAATCTCAACACGACTTGTACTTAACTGGAGCAGCATAACTTTATCAACTCAACTATAAGTTAGCTCAAGTTTTGAATCAAGTTGTGTGGAAATTTTAACTTTGCAACTTGGAAATTTAATCCTCTTTCGCGATACACACTTTAATTTTAACGGCGCATATCGCACAAATAGCTAAATGCGTTATTGTACTCGTATTTATTTAAAACGCAGACACCAGCAATATATAGATAAATTGTCGGTAGTT